GGGGCGTGCTGGACGGGTGCATGCAGGAAGATCAAGAGCGGCAGCAAAGGGGGCCGGTCGATGCGCCAGACCGAAGTTATGATCGAGAGAACGATCATCGAGGCAAGATCCATACAGCGAGGGCGCCAATAGCCAGACTCACAGACACGTGTGTCTTGGTGTGGTGTGTGTGGTCTGTTAGGCCCGTGCCATCCTGCACTCGTTGATCAAGACGCTCTACACCCGTCTCTTTGACTACATCGTCGACCGCATCAACGACAAGAACAAGGCAACAGAGAAACGCCACACACCCACGCATGAGTCCATCCATCCATTCGTGCGCACGTCTGTGTGTATGTGTGTGTCGGTGTGTGTGAGCAGCCTGCTGGCTCTCGGTCGCTGGAGGAGGACTACCGCTACATCGGCAGTATGGCAGACAAGGGAGAGCCTGTGCATCGCGTGTATGTGTATATGTGTGTGTGTGTGTGTGGATGGATGGATGGATGGATGTGTCAGTCCTGGACATATACGGCTTCGAGTGTCTGGGCATCAACTCGTTCGAGCAGCTCTGCATCAACCTCGCAAACGAGAAGCTCCAGCAGTTCTTCGTTGAGAAGGTACCACACACAAGTTTGAGCTGCTGACTTGACGGGAATGTGCCACGTGTGTCGACCAACCAATCGTTATTGTCTGTCTGCAGGTGCTGGTGAACGAGCAGCGGATGTACAAGAATGACGGCCTCAAGTGGGAAGACATTGACATTCAACCTACGGTAGGTCTCTCTCCATCCATCCATCCATCCAGCCATCCATCCAGCCAGCCAGCCATCTGTCTGTGTTGTGTGTTATGGGTGCTTTGATGCAGTGTCCGGTGATCGAGGCCATCACGGCCTCCCAGGGCATCTTCGCACTGCTCGATGACGCATCCAGGCTCGCCGCACTCAACAAAGCCGAGAAGCAGAATGTCACCGACTCAACATTCTGCGAACAAATCAAGGAGGTCAGACCGACACGCCCACCATCTCCGAGACACACCAGAGACATATGCCTGTGTGTCGATGTGTGTGTGCATCTGCAGAAGGTGCACAAGCGCGAGATGCCCATCAGCGGAGCGGTGGAGATGCCCCGCACCGATCGCAATGCGGCCAAGGGCGCAGCAGCCGATAGAAAAGGCGTAAGCAACGCTCTCACACAGACGGACACACCTCTCTCTGTCCCGATGTATCTGTGTGTTTGCACATCCATCCATCCATCCATCCATCAGAGGGGCGGCGGCTGGGAGGACTTCATCGTCCGCCACTATGCCGGCAAGGTCACCTACAACACACAGGAATGGCTCCACAAGAACAATGACCGGGTCGGTGCAACACATCACTCACAATCACACACACACACACACACAGATTGACAGGTGTGTCCATCCATCCATCCATCCACCCTCAGGTAGAGAAGGAGATAGAGGAGCTGCTCGATTCGTCGGAGCGGTCGCTGGTCAAGTCGTTCGCCCGGCGTCTGAGCGATGCCGACGCCGGCAAGGCCGCCAACCAGTTCAGATCCGTCTCCAAAAAGTAGATAGATACCACACACACGACACCGACACCAACAACCACACAAACTTACAAACCTGTGCTTCCCTTTGACAGGTTTCGCATCAGCTTGGACGCCATGATAGCCGACCTCAACCGGGCTAACCTGCAGTTCATACGGTCCATTTGACATGACAAACACACAGGCCACCGAGAGACACACCCGACCGACCTGCCGGTCTGTGTGTGTGGGGTGGGGGATGCAGGTGTTTCCTGCCCAACCGTGAGCAGTGTAGCGGCCACTTTGTGGGGTCCCTGGTGCTGGAGCAGCTCAAGCACACCGGCACCCTGGAGCTGGTCGCCATCATGCACAAGGGATACCCCAGCAGGTACGTCTGTCTGCACTGCACACAGCCGGCCATGTGTGAGTGTGTGTGTGCGTGTGTGTGTGCAGGGTGTCGATAAGTGAGTTGGAGGAGCGTTACCGGTCGCTGCTGCCGTTCGGCAGCCACTGGGACTCGCGAACCATCAGTACGGGACACACAGGCCTGCCTGCCTGCCTGCCTGGCTCCTCAAATGTCTCAAATGTCTGATGCATTTGTTCGTTCAGTCGAGTGCATTCTGCTGGCCTACGGCATGGAATCATCATGCTGGCAGATCGGTGTGCACCGTGTGTACTTCAAGGCTGGCCAGGTGGCGATGCTCGAGGCCATCAGACAGCGGGGCCCATCACACCTCTCACTCCCGAGGGAAGAGCTCCTCAAGATCAGAGCCAAGCTGCAACTCAAGTACCTACCTTACACCTACAGCCAGACAGACACCGACACAATTGGGTGTGTGTGTGTCGTCCTGTGTTGGCCGTGTGTATGTGTGTGCGTGTAGGCGTCTTCGCCGCGCTGCCCGAGCAGTGCAGGCGCACAATGCGGTGCTGTGGATGATGCACCGACTGCGCATGCGCAAACAGCGATTCAAGAAACTCCGGGCATGGGTACACCACACACACACACACACCACACACACACACACACACACAGACAGACGAGAGACCCCCTGTTTATCTCATCCATGCCGCTCTCCCTTTGCAGCTGAAGTTGTTTGTGGCCTTTGTGCCTCTATTCCGGTCGGTGCGTCACGCCCGCATCCTGCGCGCCTTCCAGGCCGTCAAGCGGGCCCGTGAGAGACAGCTCATGAGCTCTCTCCTCGACGCATGGAAGCGGCGGCCCATCCCACCTGCACCCGAGCCACCTGCGCCTGCACCAGCACCAGCAGCAGCAGCAGCAGCGGACATCTCACCATCCACACGTGAGCAGCCTCAATGACGGCGGGGGAAAGGGGCTGGCTCATTCATTCTGTGTGTCCCCCCAATGTCTCGGTCAGGTGTGTTGTCATGCCCCGGGACGACGCCCATCGGTGCGTCCGATCGGGCGTTGTTCCCCGTGGTGCCACGGCCGGCCGTCTTCTCTGTCCGGCCACCGGCAGCCGAAGCCCGCGACCTCGACAGACACATGTGCGCCATGCACTGGCCCTTCATCCGACAAACAGCCATATGTGTGTGCGTGTGTGGGTGTGTGTGTGCGTGTCAGGCCTGAGTCGATAGTGATATTGGATGGCGGCTTGTCGGTGGTGCAGTGGCGGGTGGACATGGTGGACGACGCAGAGGCTAGCCAGGCGCCCCTGCAGGCGCTCAACAAGGCCGAGAGGCGCGAGAGGCTGCACGAGGGTGGGAGCGGTGGCAGGCCCCCCTGTCTGCCGATGTGGGAGCTGGACATCAACCGCCTGGCCATCGCACACAAAAAGAGCAGCAGCAGCACTGGGGAAGAGGCGATAGAAGGCATGGTCGAGATCGTCACTGGATGCCAGCATCCCGTAAGACACCCGAGGCATCTGCTGAATCGCTATGCTCATGCTCATGTCTTTGTGTGTCTGCGCATCGGCCGTGACAGGACCGCTGCACTTATCTGGCCTTCATAGATGTGAGCGGGACCCTGGCGCTGCTGCATGGCGTGGCGGCGCCGTCTGCGGGCGACAGGGTCGAGCTGGGCGGCATCAAAAGACCCGACATCATACCTGCCGATGAGTACCTCCCACCAGACCTCTGGAAGGACGACATGATCGTGAGTGTGCTCCACACACATTCCCACATCCACACCACACCGACAGTGACAGTTCTCTGCTCCTGTCTCCGTGTCCGTGTCAGCCGTTGTCGATGTGCTGGGTGCCCCGGCGGCTGCAGCTGGGCATTCTGTGGCTTGTCCTGCGACCGAACCACGACAGCAGCCAGCAGCAGCAGCAGCAGCCTGGGAGCGGCGTGGAGGTCAGCGGCTGCAGGGCCATGCTCAGACTCACCATATTCAACGAAGAAGGTATTACCAGCTAGCTCGCGCGGTAGCCTGCACACACCTGCCTTTGTGTGCTTGGGTGTGGGCGCAGACATGCTGTTCAAGAGTGTAGATGGCGGTCGTCGGACGCTCATGAGCCGAGACATCGAAATGCCCGACCCTTTGCCCGTAAGAACGAACAGACCACACCAGCACC